AAACTCAAAATGCTATTTTGGATAAAGTAACCTAACTGCGGGACCTTGGAAAACATGGATGTGGTTTGCAGCATTCAGCCGGTAGACTAAATGAGATCTGTACTGTCATGAAGATACCGATCTTGAAATGCAAAGAAAACTGCAGCAACAGAATTATTACTAATGCCTTCAGATGATTAGCACTTTAAAAGGTGTATTAGCTAACGAACTACCAACAGAGGGTACGTAGGTAAAGAGCACAGCCTACTTTTCTTTTTTACAAAATCGGGAAACTGAGGTGTACAGAGTACATTTGCCCGAGAACACAGGGATGCTAGATAAGAGCAATTTTGCTCTGTCTCTGTTCCTCTGGACCAAGACTCTCAATCCACCTGACTGCTGTTTCCACAACTGGCGCCAGTGCACCTGTCACGGTAAAATAACAGGGGAAGAGTGAGGAATGCAAAACAATGTGGGTATCAGGAAGGCAAGTAATTACATGTGTTGTGGTCACCACACGTGACAAGACAAAAACCAGTCTCTTCTTAGTTACCTGGCCCCTACGATCACTAGATAATCAAGTAACCGAGGACAGAGCTTCTTCTTTTGCACCATGGTTCCAAATTCACCAGTTCATCTCAGAGAAACTTCAAGGCACCACACAAGGAGTCAATGTTCCCAGGAGGAATTCTGATGTTATCTGAAAATTCAAGTCCAATAGGAAAAAAGTACTGATAAAATCCACTGCTGTGCCCCAGGGACTCATCCCCCTCAGCTTTATTTCTGCCAGGGTCAGAGGTCAGAAGGGCTTCTGTTTTAATCCTAAAGATGGGAGAACATGACACTTTTCCTAGTCCAGAGCTTGGTCAAGGCTGATGAACTTACAGAGCCAAATGTCAAGAAGTAGGATAAATAATGGCTCACCTCCCCCATCCCTACAAAGCAGCTCATTTCCAGCCTCACTCCTGATGCTCTGTTTCTGAAAAAACAGACCCCGTTAGTCTCATCTGGATTCAGTCATTATGATAACAAAAACTAAGTCACTTTTAGGACAGCTCCAGGGTATCAGGATCCAACCAGACTCTAATCAGCACTAATCTGTACTCTCACCTCCGGATGAAAACCCAATTATTTTCTGCTCTAACATTCTGCATTCAGCTTCATGTGAAACTACCATAAAAACCGTATACTTCATGCACTCAGACAATAACAAGAGAGGGCTACTCTACCCTGTGCACTCTCAGATGAAGAAAATCTATGTCCCAATTGCTTCCCTAAACCATTTTTTTCTTCCCTCTTCAAGCAAGAAAGGGGCCCACGGGTTACCGCTACTGGCTCTGCCCTTGGTGCTGAATCATAGTCTTTCTCTATTCTAGCCCCAGGACTGGAATCAGGGATACAATACACACAGATGAGACTTTGTCCTTGTACCTCTTACACAAATGAAGAATTAGATGCAGAAATAACAGAATTTCTGCAAGAACGGGGAGAGGTGCTCAGAGGAATTGTAAACCATAGTCCAAAAAGTGGGAAAAGCTTACATGGTCTTAATTATAATTTATGTCCTATTAGGTCTCCATACACTTCTCTAAGCAAAATGTTTCACTCCACTACAAGGCTATCTTCAGTGCATACAGGATTCTACTTCTACACTCCACACATGGTCACACTAAGACCTCCTTTGCTACACACACAGATATTCCCATTACACTACATACACACACGCCACTCCCGTTCACTCCCACACCCAGACATGCATAATCCCTGTATGCTTAAGGCTCTATTTGATTTAGATAATGAGTTCTATCTTTTTCTTCCCTGCTTAATAATAAATAGACTGCTCCACAATACTCTTGAATCCTCAAAATACTGCTCCCTCCCTTCTCTTGCTCCCAATAGAAGAGCTGCAGGTAATAGGATTCGGTATTGTCTCCATAGCGACCCAGGCGCCCAGGACTATTTATAGCATAGCCACAGCCCCTCCCCTGCTCCATGACCACAGAGTGCTAGCAGCTGCTACTCCAGAGTCGTCCAGGGCCCATAACAATTCATTCTCCTTGAATCTAGAGACACTTCTTCCACTGACAGCACCTGCTAATTATTACGTTATCTTCTCCCCATCTATTTTTAGTTTATACTTTGTTCTAACTTCTGGATTTTGAGAGAGATCTCTTCTTTCCATGCAACCCAAACCGAGTTTACGCATGCCATATGCTCATTTCTAGGTTATCATTACCACCCAAAAAGTCCTTTGGTTCTCTCCAGTGCCATGGAGTCGTGAGCAAACTGCAGAAGGTGGGGCACTGTTATAAAGCTGATCTCTGGTCCTTGCAAGCAGAGTAAGAAAGGGAGGGGAAATAGAAAAATGAAAAGGGACATGGGTAAAAAGTGTAATTCTTTAATTATATGAAAATTGCTTAGGGCGAGAGCCGATGTATCTTAAAATAAAAAAGAATTTATGGGGCCAGAGCTCAAGGCTAAGCCTTGAAATCTATGTTTACACTGAAAACCAAGGGCCCTTTCCTGCCAAAATTTCAACAATCACACCTGAAGTGTCTTCTACTAAATATATTAGGGCATCAGGCCTCTAGCCTTGGTGGGATTTTAGCCCTGCCACTGAGAATCACTTGATAAAGCTCAAGTCATTATCATGCTCTACCATGTCCATCTCCCTCCGGAACTATAAGGACCCTGAGATCTTGTGACTATTCCAGCCCTAGTGATAGGATAGATTTTTAGCCACACTTCATATCTCATCAACAGCCACTACCTCTGGTTATTCCGATTGCAAAGATAGGCTTTCCTCCACATTCTCTCCCCTTCCCATAAAGACTAACATCACCTATAACTCACATCCTGTCTTCATATCAACCAGACTCAGACTCTGCCTTTTGCCTCAACCATGTTTACTAATAGGGAGTCCCTGGTTCTCAGCTCCTATGTTCCAAAGGCATCAAACGTGTACCTATCTGCTTCCCTATCCACTCCATCCAGACGCAGATTTAGAATCCACAGACGTTTAAGTTCTCTATGTCTTTTCAGCCTACAAATGGCCAGGTTTAGCAACGCTTTGGATTAGTCCCTCGTTTGGGGCAGAATGTCATAGTAAAACCACAGGAACCGGAGAGCGAGATGACATCTTTGCTGACGTGAGCACAACAGAAGGCTCTCTCCCCTCCTACCCAGGCAGTGACCTTGCAAGCGCATCAGCACAGACCGGTCAGCGTGGGGGAGAACGAGAGCAATAAGGCAGGCAAAAGGCAGGGTTGGAAAAGAGGCGAGGACAGGAAGAGGAAGAATTTAAAGATGCGCGAGGATGAGGAGGGAAGCGGTTGCATAAAAGATGAAATGGCATCTCGATTCTCTAACAAGCCAGTTTTGAAACACCAAAAAAATTTTCTTTTTTCAAAAAAACCAAACATGATCTCCAACCCGTGATCAAATATAAGGTGCACACGGCGCGCGCGCGCCAGGTGCTGATCCCGGCTCCGTCCTCGGCAAGACAACTCTGCCCGCCCCCTCACCTGCTGGACAGTTCTCCCCCGCCCACGCCCCGAACCAGCGCCACCAGCCAGCCGGGGCGGAATCGAGTCCAGCCACCGCGAGCTGAGCCCAGTCCTGCAGCCCGCACCTCTTCCGCGGCTCCGAGCGCGCCCTCCCTTCTAGCCCCGCCTCCTTCCCTAGGGACCCCCCCGTCCCCCTCCAGACCCCACGCCCCCCATCTCCTTTAGGGCCTCTACAAAGGTGGCTTCCCCCTAGAACCCCTGTTTCCTCTCAAAGTCCGTCTCCCCCGGGGAGCCCCGTCCCAAATACCCTCCCAGGACCCCCTGTGGCCCGGACCTTCCTACCTCCCGTTCCTAGGGGAACTGGCCAGGCCCAGCCCAGACGGCCCCCGGCAGCGGAGTGTCGGAAGCTCGCCGGCTCCAGCGCGGCTTCGAGCGCGCGCCAGTTCCGTGTCTGCACCGGGGGGCGCGTACCACTCGGAGCCAGGGAGGGAGGGGGAGGTTGAGGGGGCCGGGGGCTGTACCACGCACCACCGGGGGGGGGTGGACAGGACTGCACCAAGCCTAGGGCTGAAGGGTGGAGCTAACCTCGGCAGAAAGGCGGCTACGCACACACCTATCCTTGTGGGAGTGGGACGGCGATGGGGAACGCTGGGCCAGCCCAGTGCCAAGCGTGCCACGGGGAGGACCCAAAGGAGTACATTTTGTCTAGTTTGCACGAAGAGATTTTAATTTCACATGGTAATAGAGCCTATTTCGACGAGATGTGGATTAATCTGGAGGCGACTTCTCAAGATAACACTGCTCCCGAGACTCTCTGAGCGTCCCCCACACCTCACCCTCCCTCCCCCCGCTAGCGGTTTGGAAGTGCCCAGCAGCCTGGGCTGCAAAGCCGGCTGCCCCGGAGGTGGAGCCTACCAATTCAGGGACGCCGGGGGGACCGATGCCGGAAGGCGCAGGCCTCCGTCTCACCTACACGGGAGCGCGCCGAGCGAAGGGGGCGTGAACCGTGCCGCGGTGTCCGCTGGGAAATGGAGTCCAGCCCTTCTGACAGGCCCGAACGGCAACGGGGCAGCCTCCCCATTCCACAGGGCCTGGGGCCCTAGAGCACGGACTGTTGTGCCCTCCTTTTTTTTATTTTTTAATTTTTTTTTTTTTAAAGGTACCAACGAGCCATTATGGAGGCGCGTGGGAAGACAGGTGCATGGCTGGGGTGTTAGTTCTGAAAATTCACCCAAGCTCCTCCTCAGAAAAGACAACCCGATCCCGCCTGGATCATTAAACGAAAAGGGCATCTAACCCTCAGCATCTCATTCACCCTCATGGGACTAGTAAGAGGAGGTCCCCTCTCACTGCCAAAGCTGTCACTCGTGACTTGTCTCCCTCTTCTGCGTCTGGAGGCAGATCTTAAACGACGGTCTCCTCCTCTGTGGCCCTGCCCCCACCCCAACCCAGAAATGGTTTCGCTCATCCTATCTTCCTTTTGGTCTTTCTGTACAAAGAGCGCCAGGCCTATCAGTGAGGCAGCCCCGAGGCATTTATGGCCAAGCCACAGAGTGACAGCAGAGAATTTCTCTGGGGGCCCTGTGGGGAAAACAGGAAGTGGTGGAGGCAGGACCGGCAGGGCCTGGGAGAACCTTGTGCAGAGTGGCCCCCAGATCCATCCATTTGGTTGGGGCAGTACAGGCTTCAGATGGAGCACAGTTTCAGCAGGACCCTCCACTGCCCAGCAGCCAAACTCCCAACCCTTTGACTCTCCTTTAATGTCACTCGAGGATCTCCTTTGCCCAGCTCTGAGTTATGTTTGCCCTTCTCAGTCTGCTTCACCTCTAGGAAGCAGCCGGGCGCATCAGCCTTCCAGCCCAGAAAACAGAAGATATGGGGGTGTGGGTGGGGGGAGGAAGAGCAGTCATTCGTGCACATCCCAGATCTCAGAGAGCAGCGGGGGAAGCTTTTTGTCCTGCAGGCGCAGTGCAAACACTTGCTCTGAATGGACACTGCTCAGTGTCCGGAGGCTCACCAGTTTCATTAGCATCCGTGGGAACATCAGTCGGTCCTGGGGGAAGGAGGGGACAAAGTACAGTTTCTGCCTCTCCCCAGGGAAGGGGGCAAGGGTAGGGGAATTGTGAGAGAGGTAGCGAATTGTCTGTGCAAGATGTAGTCAGGGAAGGATTCTTGAAGGGAAAGTAGGTGTGTCAGGGGATGAGCCTCTGGGGAGGAGGAGAAGAGGGGAGGGGAGAATCACAGGGAGACTCACATGGGGGTGGTGGATGGAGACGTAGGCATGCAGGGCCTCCACATATGTGTGTTGCAGCCTCTCTACCTGGAGCTGGTCCTGCACGTTGGGCCGGTCTATAGGTCACCAACAGAGTTGAGGAGCAGGTCTGGCCAGGGTCTTAGTTCTATACCCCAAATCACAACCCCCCAAATAGGGACATACCCCACCCAGCCTCTCCCAAAGTAGCACAGCAAGGGCTTCCACTTCCACAATTCCTGCCCTAGGGGGCCTGCAGCTCTGCTTGGTGCAAATCTCTTGCTCCTTTTCCCTCCTGCCCCTCCTCGCACCTGCAGAAAAGATGCTGATGGCAATGAGCAAAGCAAACTCAGCATCATTGAGTTGCAGTTCGTTCATGGCTCTGGAGAACTCGAAGATGGGGTTGATGAACTCCACCTGCAGCCCTGGGGAGGAAGAAGGGAGGCTGGGGCACGCGGCACAGGCAGCAGGAACTTCCTTCTCTCCTCCAGCTCCTCAACTTAGGGGAACTGTTAGGAAATCACTAAGAAGTCTCCCGGGGCTCTGCCGGGTAACATTAGGCAAGTTTCTTAACTTTTCTAAGCCTCTTCTGTGACCTGGGAATCCTATCTGAACGTATAAGACTGCTGTGATGGTGAAACCATAAAGCAGGCAAAACATGTAGGGTTGTGCTTGGCACACAGGAGGCGCTGGATTCAATGATAATACTGCTGTCCCTAGAATTCTCTAGAAATAGAGGCAAAGCTTCTTTCTGTTTACAAAGAAAACTTTATCACTGGCAACTGGCCTTACTTATTTGAATACCAGAGATACATTTCATGTTTCATGTGCCAGCAGGAAGACAGCAACGTGGTCGAGGGCAGGGGCTATGGCATCACACTGCCTGGGTCTGAGTCCCGGCTCGACCATTTATTAGGCCGTGTGACCTTGGGTAAGTTATTTAAGTTCCCTGAGCCTTGGTTTTTCCATCTGTAAAATGGGGATAATAATAGTACCTCATTGGGTCCTTAGAATGGTAACTACTATATAAGTATTTGTTAAATAAATAAATGAATGAATAAACTCAAAACATAGAACCAGTCTTCTTGCTGAGGAGAGTGAAGTTCAACAAACCGTGACCTACAGTCATGACACCTAAAGAACACTTCTCCCATCACTAAGTCTTCTCACCCCACCCCACCCTGTCCCTGTCTGCCTGCTGTCTCTCAGCAGCCTTCTGCTAACTTTTCCAGGCAACGCTCCCTGATTAGTCACTTCCTGTACTTCTCCCCTGATGTTTATCAAGTGTATGTTGAGACAGTTGAGACACTGAATGGACAAGAGCCATTTTACAAAGCCTTTCTTGGAGGGTTGTTGAGCCTCAAAATGTGCTGAACGGCCCCTTCGTACAGAGAGGATGAGGAGGTTCTGGAGCTGGGCCGTGCGCCCTGCCAGCTCTGCTCCTGGTCACTGAGCGCGAACCTCCGCTGCTCTTGGTCTGCATCCTGAGCTGCCCACCCCGTGCACACACAGCAGTGGATGCAGAGACGGACGGAGACCTGACAAAAGACAGCCCCTGCCCCTCCTCCCCAAGACCTCGCTGACAGAAGGAAATGAGAGGCAAACAGGACGGCAGCAAAACTGCTCACGTCAATGTATTGATAACTAGGTGCCGATTCAGACAGCACGAGTCTGCAAGTGCTGAAGGAACGCCCAGGCAGGGGAAGGGCGAAGCGTTCAGAAAGCAGGGTGCTGGGGCGCCTGGGTGGCTCAGTGGGTTAAAACCTCTGCCTTTGGCTCAAGTCATGATCCCAGAGTCCTGGGACCAAACCCTGCATCGGGCTGTTTAGCAGGGAGCCTGCTTCCACCTCTCGTTCTCTCTCTCTGTCTGCTTGTGATCTCTATCTGCCAAATAAATAAATAAAATCTTTAAAAAAAGAAGGAAGGAAGGAAGGAAGGAAGGAAGGAAGGAAGGAAGGAAGGAAGGAAAGAAAGAAAGAAAGAAAGAAAGAAAAGGAAAGGAAAGAAAAGAAAGGAAAGGAAAGGAAAGGAAAGAGAAGGAAGGAGGGTGCTAGGAAGGAGGCAGCGGCCATGCTTTGGAAGGATGGGGATAATAAGCATTTGGGGACCAGGCAGATAAAGGGAGCTGGGCTGGGCTTTGAGAGCTGGAGAAAGTCATCAAATTGCCCCATCAGGTGCCTACACACGCCAGCAGCTCCCGGGGCAACTGATGGCCACAGAGCTAGGGTTTAAGGGAGGCCTTCCTAGAAAGCTCACAGGCGGGCCTGTGCTGGAACAAGAGGCACGTGAGCTGCTCTGTCACCAGAAACCGGAGAAGACTATGAGCTCTGCCCTGGAAACCAGGGCCTACCAACTCCAAGAATGAAGTCACTGCTTCAGCCCTAGTTCACGGCCCCACGCCCTCAGGTGTTCAACTCCTCAGTCTCCTGTTAAGTCGAAGTTCTAGTCCCTCCAAAACCCTCTCAGCTTCCCATGCTTTTCCACCCCCACTCCCATAACACAAACATTACTGGCAACTGAATATGAGGACGCCAACCCCACTTAGACCGCAAGCAAGCAGCAACGAGCAGCACTGTGTGTGCACTAATTCTTGGAGAAAACACTCCGGGGTACAGCACGAGGATGGGAGTGGTTACTCTTATCCTAAAACTGCCCCAAAATTGCCATGTTCCAACATGTATTTTAGCTTTTCAGAAAAAGCAACTGAAGAAGAGTGGTGGGTGGGGGGAACAGTCCACACGATCCTTAAAGAGTACAACCAAGTTCATCAGTAAATACTAAAAGGCTCATTGCAGCGGTTTTCAAGCTTTTTCCCTCGCTGTGATATCGTTTCTTCAAGCAAAACATTATGCAGAAGCACAGTATTAAGTGGGGTTTCTTGTTTGGCTACAGAGAGGATGAAGGACAGTCTTGTACCTCTCTGTTCCTCCTCTAAGGGGACACTTCTGTGGAGCCCCAACCCCCTCAGGCTCCCCGAAACACTGAAAACCACTGGCCGAATCCAACAGAGGTCAGATGTCTCTTTGCAGTAGCTGAGAGAGGCCTACACCACTCCCAACTTTCTGTCTTGGAAAAACAAGCGGATCCTTCCCCATACAGCAAAGCAAAAACCCTGGGCCTGTGTCTCTGTAGTCACTATGAGCCCAGTGACAGAAAGTGTCTTTCCATCCAACCCAATCCTTTTCTGACCTCAGTTCTTACCTGCTTTGGCAAAGTCTTCCCGGTTATAACTGAAATCCTTGAGGAAGGTGATACTCTCACTCCCAGGGTTGTACCTCCGAGATGTCTCCAGAAGCATCACCTGCACGCAAGGAGCAGACCTCAAACAGAGACTCAGAAGGCTGGTCTTGGCATGGGGCCCCTGCGCTCCCCACCTGGCTGTCTGGAAGTGTGGGAGATAGTCCCGCCCTGCTTCTCCCTTCACCCCTCGGCCTTGCCAGCCACCTCGATCGCAGAGGTCTTCAGCAGGGCGATCTGGTCCTCCCGGCTGAGCTGCAGGAAGCCAGGTAGCTGTTTGGCAAAATCAACAATCTCCTGCACAGAGACGATGGCCAGCTCGGTGAAGTGGGCAAAACGCTGCTGACGGGCCTCCCGGCTCTGGGGATCTGGTGCCATGGGCCAAGGCTACCCAGCAGGGCAAGGATGGAGAAAACGAACTACCCTGAGTCAGCTATCAAGAAGCCGGTGGGTGCTCTGGGCACAGCCACCTCTCCCCGGTTCCCTCGGTTACCGTGACTCGAAGCCGGTCAGAAAAAGAGCGTCTGTTACACTGCTGCTGGGCAGCCACCAGCTTCTCAATCATGCCCCGCTGCTCGGGGCTGAGCTGGGGCAGGACTTGGGCGGGTGAGGACACCCTTGGGGGCATGGACGTGGCCTGAGCCTGCTCCTCCTCTAGCCGCTTCAGTTTCTTCAGGCGGATCTGCTCTTCTGACAAGACACCTAAGGACAGGGTTGGACATGAGGGGAGAAGAGGGGGACACAAGAAGCAAGGATGGGACAGAGGGGTAGTCTGAGGCTCTAGAAAAGCAGAGAGCACTGGGTAAAGTCAAGGATGAGATTTTAACTCATACTTAGAGACCACGTAGGAAGACCCTGTAGGCTCAGCTGCCTGTCCACTCTCACACCCCCGCAGCCCTTTCCCGTCATCCTCTCCCCCACTCCTGTCCCCAGACACTCACACTCCTCCCGCATGCCGGCCTGGCGGCATTTTCGAAGACGACACTCCTGACATTTGCGACGCATGTAGGTGTCCATGGGGCAGTGGCCCCCACTGTGGCAGACATAGCGCGCCCCTTTGATGACACTGCGGCGGAAGAACCCCTTGCAGCCCTCACAGCTCAGTACATTGTAGTGGAAACCGGAGGCCTTGTCCCCACACACACTGCACAGCTCGTTCCCCAGCATTTTGGGGGCTGGCCCCTTTTTCCGCTTTTGTGGACGGAGCTCTGGAAACAGAGGAGAAACTTCATGTTCTTCTCCAAGAAGAAAACCCCTGGTGCCCAGTTGGCCACTGCGCTGAGCACTCAGTGAACTTCATCCCCTTCAGTGTATGCTGTCTAGTCTGTTATGACAAAGTAGCTCTCACGTGCCAAGTGCTATTCTGTCCTAGGTACTGCCTGAGCCCTTTACATGCACTGATCCTCCCAACTGTAACAGATATGTACTATTATTATTTCCATCTTACAGATAAGGAAACTGAGGCTCAGGAAGGCCCAAGGCAGAGAAAAAATTCACATTCAGATCACTCAGGTCTAGTAGAATCCAAAGCCTTTGGACTTAACCATGGTCTCAGAAGGTAAACAGCCCTATGGTACCCTTCCCAGACCCCTGGGGCCCCTTCCTCCTCCAAATCCAACAGCTCCTCACCTGTAGACTCTGGAGGGGTATCCACCCCAGGGAGCAGGACTGCAGGCTCTGCTGCCTCCAGCCCTGCCCCCAGAGAGCCCCCACCGGACTGGGGAGTGCTGGCTTCCTCCCTGAGGATGCAGGTGTTGCCTCCCAGCGCCTGGCTGCTGGCATCTTGTGCATCTGGCTCCCACAGCTCCGCTGCAGAGTCTGAGCCCCGAAAAAGAGGCACAAGGGGGTCTCAGGTCCCTCCCATCCACTTCCTTAGCGTCCTTCTGGGAAACTGCTCATTTCTCTCTACCCCTAGAGGGCAGCAAAATGTTGGCTCAGGCTTCAGGACCCTGGGGTTTATGTGGGCTCTAGGGCTAGTCTCTTGTAATCCCCTCAGTACCTTAGATGAGGATGTTAACCTTTGTCCCCTTGAAGGGCTGACATGCATCCATTTCAGAGGTCAGACAGAACTCTTCAAAGCCAGTGCTGGTAGGCACCAGACAAGCCAGCTCTCCCCAGCAGCAAGCCCATATAGAAAAGGACCAGCACCAGACCCAGCATAGAGGTAGTCTGGGCAGAAGGAGGCAAGCAATACGGAGAATGACTCTGGACTGCTCTCCAGGGGACAGGTGAAGGCAAGCAGTGAAGGAGGCTGATTCCCGAGGGAGGAGAGGAGCTGGGATCTGAGCTCAGAGGAGAGGGCTGGAGTGAAGACGCTTACCAGGAGAAGCATCAGGCACGGGGGCCTCCAGCCACAGGGACATCTCTTCCTGGAGCCCTGGACATTACCAAGGCAGCTGTCCTGCAGGAATGACCGAGGTTACCGTCTTCAGAACTGGGGCCCTCTTTGGCCTCATCAACCTTCTCCTCCTGATCCTACGAGTACTCATATACCCACCAACATTTACTTGCTGTGTATGTATATATTGGCCTGTGCTAAAGCTTTATACACCTTCCTCTAGATATGCCTATGATGTCATGACTATTCGTAAACCCATTTTATAGACGAGGAAACTGAGGTTCAAAGAGATTAAGTAAATTGCCTATAGCAACACAGTTAGGCAATGGTAGAGCCAAGATTCCAACTCTGGTCTGACTCCAAAGTCTTAGCTGTTAGCTAAGGTGCCCACCTTGCCCCCTTTTCTCCCCCAGGGACCCCTCCAGGCCATCACAGAGTGTCTGGGCACATCTGCCCAGCTTCTGTCAGAGCCCCTTCCCCTTCCTCCAGCACTGAGGACAGCCAAAGTTGGCCAGGACTAGGGCATGGGATTGAGGCTCACTCACCCAGTAAGACTCACTGTTTGTTAGATAACTTCACTGCTGTCACTTTCCAGCGTCCCAGCACAAACCTCCTACCTCCAGGAGTTGCTCCATTTCACAGCCAGGAACCCCTCCCCCAGAACTCCTCAGGAATTATTCTGGACCCAAATAGAATCCTTTTGCTTCCTGGGCTGCCATCACCATCATCATCCTTCACTTCTCCCCAGAGACCCCTAAGATCTACAGGGTACCCACCCACTCCCTCCCAGACTCACACAAAGAGCCCCAGGCCAGTGCTGAGGAGCAGACCCACCGAATCCCCAGGCCACCAGACTTCCCAGCTGGGGCAATCTCTGGAGCCCCCTTGCTGGGAGGGGAGGGCGGTGCAATCTCCTGTCTGGAGACCTTGCACTGGGAGCCGGAGCTGAGCAAGTGAGACACCGGAGCCCCAGGGAAGTAATGTGGGGAAAGGCTGAGGGGAGGGACTGCCAAGGGGTCGGGCCACTTCTCCTTCCTGCTAGGCAGACCGGAGACGACTGACTAGAGCCCTAGCCGCCATCCCCCACACCCACAGGGCAGCTTCCCCACCATGTTGACTCCTCCCCAGCGCGACCGCCCGCCCCCTCAGTCCAGCCTCACCCCTGCCCCCCCTTGCCCCCAACCACGACAGTCCCATTTCTCTGTAGACCCGCCCAGTTCCACATCTCTCCCCTTCCTCTCCTCACCCCGGTGGCTCTTAGCTGCTCTTACAGAAGGACTGCCTCCCAGGCACCCCCTACCCCAATCCCGGCAGCCACCAGAGTCATCTCGTAGAGCAAAGGTCCCGGCACTGCCTGGAATTGCAACACTGAGCCTCAGCCTGCTTTCCCAGCCTCCCTCCTCCTCCCCTGCCTCTGGGAAGGGCCAAAAGCTCTCCCCACTAGCCCCAGGCCTCAGCCAAATTAGTATAATAACTCCAAGGGTGGAGAGGCCGGTGCGTATCCAGGGAGTCTCTGAGTGGTGGTTCCCTGCAGGGGGCCACCAAGATGTGAAGAGACCACGAGAGAGAGGAGCAATGGCAGGGCTGGGATGGGGGTGGAGGCAGAGATGACAGGTGACCCAGGTGCCAGCCCAGGATGGACCTGGGACGGTATGTGGGTTCTCACATCTGAGAACCATTCATCTGAAGTGATGGTAGGTTCTATCCAGCATCTACTGAGACTACTACAGCCATAGCCATCCAGCCCTGCTGCCTGGAACGTGAGATCCATCCCTGAGAGGAGATACCATGTTTTATTGATTTTATCTCCCCTGTCGCCCATGGAACAGGGCCTAGCACAGAGCAGGCAACAGAATAGGAACTACGTTCCTGATTGTTAAATGAATAGGTGAACAAAAAAAATAATATGATCCTCTTCTACATCTGAGCTTTCAGCACTTGAGCTCTGGGCCTGGCTTTGCCTCTGCCTCTTTCTGTGATCTTGATTAAATGAGTTACATAATATCTCTGAACCTGTTTCCCTACCTTTAAAATAGGGATGGTAATAATAATGGTGTTTGCCACATAAGGTTGTCATGAGAAGTACACAACGTATTACACAGCTCAAGGGGTGGGACATAGTAAGTGTTCAAGAAAGAGCAGCAGTTATCATTCCCCCTCTCAATCCTTTCATCTACAGGTCTTCCCATCGCCTCGAATCTGTACACTGTTAACCTTCTAGTGCTTGTTTCCATACACAAACCCCTCACTATCTCTTTTGGTCCTTAAAGCAGCCCCAGGAAGGAGGGAGGGCAAGTAACAGGAGCACCATTTCACAGAGAGCCCTGAGCTCATGGCAAAGCCCCTGCCAAGACCACACACAGTGACCAAGCTGGGGTCAGAATCCAGATGTCCTTGCTCTAGTCCCTGTGCTCTTTCTTTCTTCTGTGTCAGAGTCCAGGAATACTCTTGTCTGGACTCTGCGGAGTCCAGTGGCCAGTGGAGCACTGAGACGGAAGAAGCGAGGGCTGGTGGGAGAGACAGGGAGCCCTGGGGATGCTTCCGTCCAGATGTGGGAGGCAAGGAGCTGAGGTTACTGCTGGTTGTTCACCCGCTGCCCTGCTCCCAGTTTCCTGCTCCCAGGCTCTTCCTGTTTTGCTGTGAACTCCAGTTCCCATGGGCCCCACATTAAAGGACAGAAGGACAGAGGGCCAGGGCAGGCAGCCAGAGGGACTGAAACAGATGAACAGGGCACCAGGGAAGAGATGAAAAAGGGAAAGAGTGGACAGAGGGTGTGGAGGAACAGGATTGGAGAAGGACAGGGAAAGCAGAAACGGAGAAGGAGCATGGTGAGAGATGGGAGGAAGCACAGGGTGGGGTGGGGGAGTAGGCGGGGGTGGGAGAGCAGAGACTTGAGAAGACAGCAGGCTGCCTGGTGTTGCAAAATCTGCCCATGTATTCACTTTCACATTTCAGAAAAGCCCCTCCGACACCCCCCATCTCAAAGTTCTCCCTCCAGTTTTAGCTCTTCTTCCGTCTTTTCACAAGGTCATCCCCTCATAAGGCCACCACCCTTGTCTGAGCATCTCTGAGTCACGAGCACAAGGCTCTCCATTCCTCTTGCATGTGTTCCTTTCCTGATTTTCACAAGGCCCCAGCTGTCCTGGGAAAGTAGACACCAGGGACTCCAACCCCTGGGAAACTGCAACCATCCTGTCCCAGCACCCACACCATCCAACCAGTTCCCTCCTCCACCTCCCCCCACCCCCAGAAGTACAGCCAGAGATGCCACTGCAGCACCTGGTTACGAGGAACATGGGACGGCACGTGCTCTGGGCCTTGATGACCTATCTTCTGGGGGCTGGAAAACACCTCTCTCATCCACTCCTGATCCTTAGCTCCCTCTCCTGACACCTTAGTCAGCCCAGGACCCTCTGACCACACTCGAGCCCCACCTGGAGCCCTCTTGACCCAGGTTAGCACCAGTTGCTCAACGAACAGGGCGCCATCTTCCTCCAAAGCAGGAATCAGTTCGCTTTATCTCAAGTGGAGAAGGAGGAAGCATCAGCAGCCCTTTACTGCCAGAGCCAACCCTTCAAGGTTACAGGGGTTCAGGAGCGCTGCCTCCCCCTGCCCCCCCCCCCCCCCCCCCTGAAAAGGGAAAGGGCGAGGAAAATGGGAGACAAAACCTGCTGGCACTATCTCACAGAGTTTCTGCAGGCCAACTGCTGGGACTTCTCTCCCAAACAGAGCAAGTAGTCAGACGATCAGCAGCTGGGGTCACATGTCTCACTCTGCCAGACCCACCCCACAGAATGGTCCCACCAGCCCACAGGTGTTAGGCACAAAGCCTCCCAGTGCCGTGGGGCCTTTCCTAGGTTTCTTTGGCTCCGGGGGGATCCTAGAACCCCTGGGGATCTTCCAGGTCCTATTTGTGAATCCCTAGAACCTAGAACCTAGAACCAGAGGCTTTTCCTTGCAGCAAGGGGAAACTTGAAGGAAAAAAAGAGGAGCATTCACCAGTTCACAGTCATACATGAAACTTGAAAATTCCCCTGAAAGTATGTGAATTCCCATGAAGCAGGCCACAAGGTATGGTCTGGAGGAGACAGACTGGGGAAACTGGTTCTTGTTCCCTCCTTCACCATTCTGGAAAAGATGCAGTGTGGGGGTCATCTTGCAGGGCACTTAAACAACTTCTGCCCAACCTCCAATCAAAAGACAGAGAAGAACCCAGGAATTTCTGCTTCCCAGGCCTACAAGTTCAGAGATTATGATATACCAGGCGAAAAGGAAAAAAGTAACATCTGTTACTACATACATTTATCTTTACATGTGTTATTTTATTTATCCTCGTATATAACCCTAGGAGATAGTCACTAGCAAGTGGGACAATATCAAATCTGAACACAGGTATAACAGACTCAAAAGCTCAAACTCATCATCAAACAAACACAAAACACCTCACTCCATTAACACAAAACTGCCTCCCCAGATGGAAAAAATGGTTAACTCACCTGGATTTAGGTTTGCTTCTGACAACACAGGGTGGAACAGTGGTTTCCAAACCTGGTCTCATTTTCAGAGATTTTAATTTATTTGGTCTGGGGTAGGCCCCTGTATCTATCTAACTATCTATCTACATGCCTAGTTTTTTGTATCTATAGTTAGGAACCAAGGCATGGAGACCACAGAATCATCTGGTAGAAAATATGCAGAAGCTGGGGGTCAAGAAACAAGGGCTTAGCTCTTGATTCCACCATGTACTTCACCCTTCCTGGATTTGTTTTCCCTACAGAAATGAAATAATATCTGCTCCATCAATCCCTCCTACATAGGATACTTGCAGGCACAAAGGATACAGACATACTTTAGCAAGTGGGAAGAAAAGCAAAAGATGAATTTGTTCTACTTGCAAAAATTTAGTGAGCCCAAGATTTACATTCTGAAATCATAAAGGTCTGGCTACATTGCAAGAAGAGTAAGGGATATATTAGAAGAAACATTCAAGAATGCCCACTAATATGCAGAATTTTGCCCGTTAGCTGTACCCTCATTCAACCCCACCAACATGAAAAGGTTTCCTTTGTCAGAAATCTCTATTGAAAGTATTTGGGGACCACTCAGTATGGTTTAGCAATGCAGTTTGAGTGGCCTGAAAGAAGCAGCCCATTTTAAAGACTAATTGGGAATCAGAAAACTTGAGTTTTAATCCCTTCTCCTGAATTCTGTGACCTTGGACAAACTCTTCTCTCTGGTTTTGTTTCCTAATCCTTTTAAGTAAGGGCAGTAGGTTAGATTGGGGATTCAGAGATGCTGACTTATGGAAACTACTGACATTCTTCATGAACCCTAGAGATCATATGCAAAATTCCATTTGTGTGTGTGGACATTTTTCCCGAAGGTGGGGTGGGGGTGGTAAATTTTCATCTGATTCATAAAGGTCCTTGTGACTAAGTAAGATTAACAACTATTGGGCGCCTGGGTGGCTCAATGGGTTAAAGACTCTGCCTTCGGCTCAGGTCATGATCCCAGGGTCCTGGGATTGAGCCCTGAATTGGGCTCTCTGCTCAGCAGGAAGCCTGCTTCTCCCTCTCTCTGTCTGCCTCTCTGCCTACTTGTGATCTCTCTCTCTGTCAAATAAATAAAGAATCTTTAAAAAAAAAAAAAAGATTAACAACTATTTGACTACCCATACTTCAGTTCTCAATTTCTATTCACTCCTCCATAATAACTCTGTAAGGTATACGTAAGTAATTGGATCCGAAGTCCTAGGGCAAAATTATGACCCTGCTTTCTCCCATATAGTGCTGATCAGGTTTTATTTCTCCAACCACCTTTAGTGATTTTACTTCCAGTGGGCAGATCTGATCAAAGCATCCCAAGGGTCTAGTGATTCTGGAGCTGTGAGTCACGCCCAGCTCAGTCACAAAGCCATGAAGCCAAATTGGCTGCACCTGGATCCTAATGGCCGATGCCTGGAGGGTCTCTGATTCTGCGGAAACTCCACTTACTCCCACTTTATGATATGTTCCTTCCCCTTATCCCTATCTATCTACCTCCCCATTGGTCTGAAATTCCTCCCCTGTGGATTCACTGCTTTGGTTTTTCAAAGTCTGAACATACTGTGCAACCCACTCGTTTTGGAGGAAGCATGACACCTTCCCAGGCATCCAAAACTCGGAAGTGGAAGGATGGGAGGGCAGGGAAAAAACTGTAACGGAAAGTGAGAGGGCTGCTGGAGCTTTGCTCAAAGGTACGAGCTGTAGGCTACACTGGGACCAACCTCAAGGACATAGGGAGTCCAAAGAACTGTTGACACGCTGTGCCCTGCACCAAAGGGAGCCTCCCCGGGGCAAAGAGCCAGGGCCAAGGCTCAAATTCCACCAGAAGGTAGGGGCGTGGAGCGGGGTACCCTGTACTTCCAACCCTTGCCTGAACTCTGCAGCGGCTCTGGCTCTGAGCTCAGGCCCAGCGGCACCCCGGCCCGAGGGGGCGCTCGCTCTCCCAGCCAATGTCCGGCCACAGCAAGGCGCCACCTTGTTATTCGGTCTCCCTGGCGGGGCCAACCGGAGCTCGGGGTTCTCTTTACCAAGACGAGGTCCTCAGCATCTTCTACAACGCGAGGTTGCGCTACACTCCCACGCTCCTCCGCCGCGGCCGCCTCGCGGGCTTCCTACACGCATTCCCTCCCAAATTCCTCCTTCTCCCACCATCTCTGCCCCTCCTTTAGCAAGATGGCGGCGAAGGCACTTCCGGCGTGTGTCCTGACGGGTGCGTCCGGGCGGCAGCTGGAGGTGCCACGCAGCGGGTTCCACCCTCTTTCTGCAGCATAGTCTCTAACGGTGATGGCGGGCAGACAGTTTGCGTGGAGCGGGGCGGCTCTTCTCCAGCTCCTTCTTGGCTTGAATCTGATAGTGATGCCCCCCACCCAGGCCCGGAGTCTGCGCTTCGTTACCTTGGTAATGAGAGATGGGATGTCCTAAGGACTCGCCAAGAGCTGGAAGGGCACAGGCCCGCTGTTAGAGGGAGGGGCGGGGCTTGGGCTGGTGTCGGGGTCTCTCCAGGATCATGAGCGGGTTTAGGAGACCACCCTCGGCCCGGAGGGTAGGTGGCCCGGTTAGGAATTGAAGTGGAGCCCCAGTTATTTTCGGGGGGCAGGCAGGGTGCAAGTAGTTCTGTATCAGGGCATAGGTCGGGTGAGTCTGTCTTGGGAAAGGGATATGATAGAACGAACGGTCAAGAGACTCACCCTTAAGCCTTTGGTGATTTCCCCCCAATTTCTCCCACCACCTGCATTGCATTCATTTATCTTTTCCTTTTTCACCTATATCTTTGGCTTCGCCTATAGTCTCCACTGGCGTTGTGTTGGCCAAATTAGAATCTCTGGAACCTGTTCAAAGTTAGTGACTTAGACCCCGAGCCGGGGTCTTTTGCAGTGGGGAGAATTAAGGCTTCACAGAAGGAGTAGGGCTTCCCTCCCCAGCAGGGCAAAGGTGGGCCCTGTGACCTGGCCCTTCTGACCTGGAGGCAAACTATTTTCTTTCCTCAGCTATACCGACATGGAGACCGTTCACCAGTGAAGACATATCCCAAGGACCCCTATCAGGAAGATGAGTGGCCTCAGGGGTTTGGTCAGCTAACCAAGGTGGGTCAGAGGCCAGGCCCCCACTCTGGGTGTGCTGTAGCATGAGTGACCTCAAGAGCAGGCCACAGAACTTGGGGGCCCCACCGAATTGTCATTTCCCACGTGGCTGCTGACTTTGACCAGATTTCTCAACCTTACTTTCCTCTGTGCCCAGGACAGGTGCCATACACAATGGGCTACTTAATAAATGACTTCTGTGATCAGATTGACCCACTTCTACTTCCAGCCAGGGTAGATTTGGAAAGCAACACTGCCTAAGCCCTGTGGGATGTGTGAGCTGTCCCTTCCCTGTCAACCCTTGCATTTGTCTGCAGGAGGGTATGCAACAGCACTGGGAGCTGGGCCAGGCTCTGCGGCAGCGCTACCAAGGCTTTCTCAACACCTCCTACCACCGGCAAGAGGTAAGGCTGGGAGCCCAAGAGGCAAGGGGAAGGGAACCTGCTGTTCTCACCCTCTGCTCTCAAGGAGCCTGGGCCACTCTGGCCTCCTTTCGTGCATTTTCGGTTACACTTACAGGACAAGGCATCTCAGAGCTGTGTAGCACAGTCCCAGAGGCCAATTTGCCCCTCTTTGACTTGGAAAGGGCCAAAACAGATCAAGCATCCAAGCTCAGGGTTAAGGGCCTAGCGAAGTCTTTTCTGATTCTGTGAAATAAACTGGATTTCCCATCCAAGATGCTTCTCGAGTACCTACTAAGGGCAGAGTGCTGTACTAGCACTCTGCATTAATGGTGCAGTACACAGATAGGATCTCCGTCTTCGTAGAGCTTAGAGTGTAGTGAGGGTGACATGATAAACCACCCAGGGTCAAGAGATAAAAAGCAGGGATCACGTGTAGAGAAGGAGTGTCAGGGAAGACCGACCAGTGTTCCAGCTCCTTGAGGCCCTCCACCCCAGGGAGGGGGTTGGCTGTTCCTCTGGTTACCACTGTTGGCCATGGGCATCTCGATGTTATTGTTCCCTTGAGGGGCAGCTCTGTCCTGGTCTTGCCCTGCCCCACTGCATCCTCCTCCCTTTGCACAAGGAATTACCTCTGTTCATTATTTCCTATCCCTGATCTCTAAGCCACTTCATAAAGGGGGTATGTCTTTGGAGACAATTTCTGCCTTCAAGCACCGTGATGTTGATAGGGAGATAGGCATCACTAGAAAATTGGACCGACAGACAGAACTGACAGCCTTAGTGACTAAGCACTTGGGACTGGGAGGTCATTTGAGCTAGAGCCATTTCCACAGGAGTTCTTCACAGACTGGGGACAGCCAGCCCCTAGCTGAGTGTTTGGACCTTTGCTGGGAAGAGGGACATGGAAGGTCAGAAAGGCGGAGACGGCCACCATTTGCTGGATAACCATCAAGACAGGTCCTCCCGCCACGGCCCCTCCGAGGGGCCAAAGCTCCCACCCCACCCCCATAGGTGAGACTGGTGTTGTCATTGCAGGTTTACGTGCGAAGCACAGACTTTGACCGCACTCTCATGAGTGCTGAGGCCAACCTGGCTGGACTCTTCCCTCCCAACGGGATGCAGCGTTTCAACCCAAATATCTCTTGGCAACCTATCCCCGTCCACACTGTGCCCATCGCTGAGGATAGGGTAAGACTGGCCAGCCCTTCCCTGGAGGTGGTGAGAGGGACAACTCTGGCCATGAGCCTGGCTGTGATCCCCAGCTCCTTCTCTGCCTCTGTTCCCCGCCCTGCTTCGGTCTACAGCTGCTGAAGTTCCCTTTGGGCCCATGTCCCCGCTACGAGCAGCTGCAGAACGAGACCCGACAGACACCAGAGTATCAGAATGAGAGTGTTCATAATGCAGTGAGTGGGGCTCAGGCGGAGGTCACCACACTGGTCCTTTCCCCCAGGGCGGTACTGATCCCCTTGATCTATTTTTCATAGCAATTTCTGGATATGGTGGCCAACGAGACAGGGCTTACAGACGTGACACTGGAGACCGTCTGGAATGTCTATGACACACTCTTCTGTGAGGTGAGCCCACTTAGGGTCCCGGGTATGGCCTTTCTTCCCTCAAACCTCTGCAGGCCCAGGTGACCAGGACAAGTAGCATACCATGCCCAGATACCATTCCCACCGGGAAGGTCCAGGCAAGCCGCTTCTTGTGAAACCAAGGAATTTCCCTCATGGGTGAAAAAGAACCTCGGAGTGGGAAATGGTTTATTCTGTGTCAGCAGTTCTTGGCCCTCTCCACCCAGAAGTCTCATGGTGCCCGGCTCCATTCTGCTGAGTCATGCTTTCCGTGCCTGAGCTTCCTTTCCTGTGTCCTGTCCGCCATGTGTCCTGGTTCCAGTCCCTCAGCTTCACGTCTCATCTCCTCTCCCTCCCTCACACACACACAGGCACCTTCCCGCTGGGGAGGACAGCTGTCCCCGGAGAGGCTCTGGCCTAGGCCTGGGAAGCTAACCTGCCCGCTGCGATACACAGCAAACACATGGGCTGGTCCTGCCGCCCTGGGCCTCACCCCGAACCATGCAGCGTCTGAGCCGACTAAAGGACTTCAGCTTCCGCTTCCTCTTCGGGATCTACGAGCAGGCAGAGAAGGCCCGACTTCAGGGGGGTGAGTGGCGGGCAGCGCGTCACTCCCCTCCTCAGGACCCTACTGCATTAAAAATCTGCTCTGGAGGGATTCTCCCACGCTTCCTTCTCCAGCTGTAGTGCTCTCTGCTCCTTCGAAACCAGACCTCCCGTTAGCCCCCAAAGTCTCTGCAGTCCTGCGAATGCTTAGCTACTCTGGGCCTGTAGAAAGGCCACTGTCGAGTTTGTGCGCTTCTTTTCTAGCATTCATATTCTTAAGTGTCACCTATGTCAGAAGACCCTCTGTCCCCTCCAGAGAACCACCAGGGGCCACTTTGACGAGAAGGCTGAGAGTAATACACATGCCAGTTTCCTGATCCGAGCCCCCAAGGGAGGGCTGGCTGTCACACTTTCCTGAGCCCAGGAAAAGTGGCGGAGCGCCCATGTGCGGCCGCCATCTTGTGCATTCTGAAGCAAGCTTAGGTTTTTATTTGCTCCAGACTGGAGTAATTGTCCAGACGCCGGCAGGGCCTTGCAGCTCCTTTATGAATTGGCAGGTCTCTATGTCTGTGTTGAAATACGGGTATCTTGTTTTATCTTGCTTCCCTCTGTAAATGCGAAAGCTCTTAGACAACAGAGGTGCTGGAGAGTTTTCTGCGTGATTCCTGTGCCCCTGAGTAGAGTTCCCTATGCCGGTGATCAGACCCAGGACTAGTAGAGGGTGAAGGGCCACACACGGGTCTGGTCAGAAGATGAGGTAGCTGGTGCCACTGACACTGGGGACTCTTCTCCTTCAGGAGTCCTGCTGGCTCAGATACGGAAGAACCTGACCCTGATGGCAACCTCCTCCCAGCTCCCTAAGCTGCTGGTTTACTCCGCGGTGAGCTCCCGTAGTCCCCGGGGTGCGGTCGTCAAGCAAGGAGCTGGATTTCCTCTCTCTCCAGCACCTGGGGGTGGGGCTGGTGGGGAGCAGTGCTGATGGGGAGCTCCGCTGTCTTACAGCATGATACCACCCTGGTCGCGCTGCAGATGGCACTGGACGTCTACAATGGGGAACAGGCCCCCTACGCCTCCTGTCACATATTTGAACTGTACCAGGAAGATAACGGGTGAGTGCAGCCACCAGTCTGCCCTCTGGAGGGGTACTCGTGTGGTGGCTGTGGGCGGCCCCAGGGCTCGGGTACCGGCCTGCGGAGCAGCTTCCGTCTCCTGTCAACCCTCAGGAATTTCTCAGTGGAGATGTACTTCCGGAATGAGAGTGACAAGGCTCCCTGGCCTCTGGTCCTGCCTGGCTGCCCTCATCGCTGCCCGCTGCAGGACTTCCTGCACCTCACAGAGCCTGTCGTGCCCAAGGATTGGCAGCAGGAGTGCCAGCTGGCAAGCGGGCCCGCGGACACAGGTGAGCTGCTGCCTGCCTCTGCGAGGAACGTCCCAGAACAGCTTTCAGTTCCTACCCACAGGTCTCCAGAGAGCTGCTGTACCTCCAACCCTCTGACTCATGTCACTAGACAGTTTACTTCCCCACCCTGAGACCATTCCTCACCCTCTCCCTCCTCCTCATTCTCAGGCGATGCCCTTCGTTCTCATATCACTGAGGAAACAGGGTGTCCAGGAGAGCATGGGCTCGTCCTCCCACCAGCAGTTCTTCCAGCTTATTTGCTGGCATAAGCCACCACCTGAGGCCGAGCTCCCCCGGGTGCTCCAGGTCCATCTCACTTCCACAGGGACTTGTGGGGCCCCAGTGTTTCCTGGGTCAGTCCCATCTTGAAAGTGTAACAAAGACCCTTCGGGCCCCATCTTCCTGCAGCCGTGCTCCGTCTCTGTTCCCTGTGAAAGTGGAATCCTTTGCCTAGACTCTGTTTCTGCTTGCTCAGTGCCTGTCCTGTCAGACTTGTGCTAGATGGCGTGTCACCTTCTACCGCAGTGAGGCCACTTTTGTAAAGGACCAATGGCCTCCTCTTATCAAAGCCTGATCAGTTCTCAGCTTCTCTCATCTCTTAGGGGCATGATATAATCGACTGTTCTTCTTTAGACACTTCCTCGGCTTCTCTGGCTTTTTTCTGACTTGTACGTGGCTTCCTTACTGGCTTTTTCTCCCCACAGAACAATGGATAGCCCAGGTCTCATCTTGGTCTTTCCCCATCTGTGCCCACTGCCAAGGTGATCCCATCCAACCTCCCTGCTTCACATACTACCTCTGTGAGGAGCTCCATCCTTTTATGACTCAGATTCATGACCTTTCCTGTGAGCTACAGACTCACCTATCCAGCTGCTGACTTGAGGTCTCGCCAAGATGCTGTGTCTGACACCAAACACTCTTACCCCCAAATCCACTCTTCCTCCAGGTTCGCCCATCTTCATGAATGCCACATTCGTTACCTCCTTGCATAGGGTGACCCTGTGAGTCCTCCTGAATACCATCTTTCTCAGACCCCACATCCGGTTCACTAGCAGGATCTGCTAGATCCTATCAGCTTGACCTTTAAAATACATCCTCTTGGGGCACCTGCGTGGCTCAAGTCATGATCCCATGAGCCCCACATTGGGCTCTCTGCTCAGTGAGGAGTCTGCTTCTCCCTCTCCCTGCCTCTCTCCTCTCTTTCCCTGTCAAATAAATAAAATCATACACACACACACACACAAAAATATATATATATATACACATATATATATGTATACATATATATAAAATCAGTTCATAGCTCTACCCTTCTCAGAATCTTCCAGTGGCTTCCTAGGACATTGAGAACAAAATCCAGGTTCTTCCCCACGGCCTTCCAGGAGCCTCTGCTCTGATGTTTGCTCCTCACTTAGTCTGCTGTAGTGATACTGATTTCGCAGCTGACCCTAGAAGGTGCCAAATGTATTCCCACATCAGTGCGTTTTGTACTTGCTTTCTGTCTACCCACCCCTTCCGCCCTTGTCCTTAGAACCTTTCTCTCAAATGCAAGTGTCTCAGTGAGTCCAGGTCTCTGGTCAAATTGTCACTTCCTCAGCGAGCCCTTCCATGACTGACCTACTACCTTTCCATCCTTTTCTCTTTGCTTTGTTTTTCTTTATAGCACTTGTCACTAACCTGGTATGTCCCATTGTAAGAGCACCTGGTGTCTGGTAGTCAGTCAGGTTTTTGTCGGAGGAACACTGATAAGCACTTTCTCTTCCCCTCCCCCGCCCAGAGGTGATCGTGGCCCTGGCTGTCTGTGGCTCCATCCTCTTCCTCCTCATCGTGCTGCTCCTCACCGTCTTGTTCCGGATACAGGCCCAGCCTCCTGGCTACCGCCACGTCGCAGATGGGGAAGATCATGCCTGACAACCACTCAGCCCCCTTCCTTCTGCCTCCTAGGGGAGGGGGGCTGGGCCCTTGCTCCTGACTGTTGCTGCTCCCCAACCCGTGGACGGGAGACCCTGGGTTGGCCTCCCTCTGATGACCCCAACCTAGATGAACAAGTGGGACTCGGCTTGGCCCTTGGCACCTGTCACTCAGCATTCACGTGCCTCCCTGTTCACCAAGTACTGTGTTGGACTTTGGCTTTCTCCAGACAAGATTTGCCTCCACCATGCTTCCTAAGGACCAGAAGTGTAGACAAGTAGTCAAGCTTCACTCAGGACCCGGGATTGAAAAACTGAAGGAGTTAGTGCTTGTTCTGCCTCACCCCCCACCCCCCAAACCCAGCCTTGCTCTCTCTTCCAGCCCGGAGTCTTCAGCAAATGGTTCAGAGGACACAGTCTTGCCTCTCAGTGCTTATTGTAGTGGGAAAAACTGCACAACATCGGGGGTATGGACACTGGCCACTAAGGAACCGGATCGCCCAGAGGCCAGCCAGCCAAGTTTTCCTTTGTCCCCCTGAAGCTACTGTTAGAGTCAGACATAATGCTTCAGGCATCTTGTCAGCCTGCAGCTGGAGCAGGGTAGGAGGGTGTTGGTGCCAGGGAGGGGGAGAAGGAGGGGGTGTGAGTTGCGGCGCAGACCTGACACTACTATCCCTCTCAGCGAGGCTGGGGTCTCTATGGACCAGAGGCCCATGCAGGTTGTGAGCTGGCCAGCTTGTGACTGTGGCCCAGAATAGGGCTAAGGTGACTTCCGGAGAATGAAAGTTCTAGACTCTTAGTGCGGTTTCTGTGCCTTTTCTTCCTTTGGGGGCCCTAGGGAGGGCTTCGGCCAGGGCAGTGCTGGAAGATCCACTCAGAAGCTCAGTTGGGTATGGTTTTATTAGCCACGTCAATCATGAGCACAAACCGAGGACCACTACCTGATCCCTCTGTCACTGCACGTCAAAGAACAGAGAAGTCCCTTGGCCCCAGGAGAAGCTTGGCTCCAGGCTGGATACAGCAGAGACCCTTGGAGCACCTGGGGTACCAACCCCGGAGAAGTTTCTGGAGCTAAGTCCAAAGCAGTTAACATGCCAGTGTCCCAGTCCCACAGTATCCCATGCCACAGTGTCCCTGCTCCAACCCTAAGACTTGGATACCTTTGGCCCTTTAACACACAGTCGCCTCTTCACACAGGATGTGTTCTCAGGTGGCTCCAAGCTCTGGCTTGGCCCACACCTTCATTAATGGGTCTCATGTCCGCATCCCAGCTTCCTCCTGGCTCCAAATGAGAATGTGATAACCTAGGAGGAGTGAGACCAGTCTGACTTGCACCTTCCATGATCCATCTCTGAGAACTTGGGGCTAGCTCAGGGCACCGAGGACTTGGTCGGGAAATACCAGGAAACCGGACAACAGCCAGGCATTGTCATGACCAAGTCAAAGCATGATGCATGGAGGGCCTAGGCCAAAGAGTCTGCTGTCTCCTGGAAGTTTTTACTGACTTCTACCCTGGGGTGACTGGTTAAGCTGAGGGGGGCCTGCACTCAACTTGGGGGAGCAGGGTAGGGCTTGGCCAATCTGAGATACAACCTGCTTCACTCACCCATCACAGAGGCCAGCGTGTCCCCCATGGGATTGAACTCATTGAGCTGCGGAGACAAGGGCATAAGCATCAGGAGGAGGTGAGGTGTTGGGAGAAGGACACATGAGAATTAATTTCTGGTCATTTTTGGTCAGTTAAGGTAGGTTGAAGCCCTGTGTCCTCCCATCAATATTTGAGGGCCCAAACCTCACCGAAATGATACCAGAAGATTCTGGGTCATAGAGCTGATACATCATCTTCCCTGAGTTTCCATCAAACACATCGATCGTCCTTAATTCGTGGGGGGTACAGCTTTTGAAATTAGGATCTGGGTATCGGCCCACGACAACGAGGTTGTACCGAGGATGCCAGGTTGCCTAGGAGATGGAGAGTTGTCATGAGAGTAAATGCAGAGTATGATCAAGAGGGACATCGGAAGTATTCTTTGTCACGCTCAACTGTTAATACACTTGCCAGCCATTTAATAATGGAGATAAGACCCACACGAAACTACAAGAACAGCTTTCAAGTGCATGTGCATCCACCCTCCCAAATTTTTAACTCAAACTGGCCTCTCTGGACCTTGGGACACCTTCAGGCCTTCTCTCTCTTTCCTATTTCCTGAGATCATACCAACCAATAAATGTTTTAACATCAGCTTGACTCAGACGTTAACCAAAGAGGTAAGCCTACAACTGAGCAAAAAGTCTCCAGTAACCAAAACCACGTAGGACATTAGTTCTGAAGGAATCCCACCGCTGTCCCTCCTGCATCAACACAAATGATGGAAGAGTTGGGCAGAAAATGGCTAGTGGCCAAGAAAGGGAAGGAAACCTATGTTCCCCAGCTTACTCTACTCAAAACAAATCTGGCGGTTAGTTGGAATGACGGAATCAGATGGGGTTTTCTTAAGAAATCACAAGGAAGTGTTGGAGGAGGAAAGACATGGTTAGCAGGAAGGACAGAGTGGTACGTGCCATGGCTTGGAAATAAGTCACAAGTCCCACTTGGGAAGCTGGAAATTGTCCTGGCTGGATACAAAGTGGGAGGTAACACATGGATCAGTAAGAACCAACCAGTGAAGCACCCTTGTTCTTAAGAGCTTGGATTTGAGCTGAGGTACGGGGAGACACTCTAGTATTAAATGATCACTGCTGATGTTGTACTTCCCAGGCACTAGACATGTGCTGTAAGCGTATGGATTCTTCCAACAACCCTGTCCATCAGATACTGATACTCACTTTTTAGAGAGGAGGAAACCGAGATCCAAAAGTCAAGCAGCTTACCCAAGGTCTCTAACCGGGGCTACTGGCCTACCTGAAGCTGGTGCCTCCCACCCCACCCCATGCTATGTTAACAAAAGAAGTACAGGCATGAAACCTAGAGGTCTGGAGAGGGACTGCACTGTTAGAAAAAGAACAGAAACCAGGAGAGCAGAGGAACCACCAGAATTGAAGCTGCCTGCGGTGTGGGCAGGAAGGAATCCGAAGACTTAAAGATTGTCAGCCTTGGGGGTTGAGGTCGGCTGGGGGGGCCAGCAGCACACGCAGGTAACTGGAGGTGATGGCAAAAGAGCAGGGAGGTGGGCTGAGCTAAACAATCCAGGAAAAGAGTTTATGGGAGACAAAACCCAGCACAGTGGGATTGCAGCAGGGGGACAGAAGTTGCAGAGAGCACCGGGAGAGAAGAGGCGGCTTTGTGTGGGTGCAGGATGAGATCTGGCATTAGGGATTTTGGATCTGGCCTCTCCCTATTTGGAGCAGACCTGGTCCATCCCCGTGATCACAGCTCCCTGCCTCCATCACTTACCTTGATGGGCGTCAGGTGCTGGAAATGGCGGTGAGGGTGTGGGATTAGGCTCGGGGGGCAGTCCCACTGGGAGGCTGAGTAAACCCGGAGCTCACTCTTCTGGTCAGTGGTCAGGAGCTGGGCTCCATCAGGACTGAAACAAGCTGGCAAGTGAAAAGCCCCAGAGATGAAGGAACCCCAGGCCCTTGTTATCCTGGCTGTCACAGACCTTCTCCTGTAGGAGCACCCTCTCTCCCACTCCGCTCTAGACAGAGGTGGACTCTGGACTGTGAACAAAAACATTCTAGAAACTTGGGGCACCTGGGTGGCTCAGGGGGTTAAGCTGCCGACTCCTGGACTCAGGTTAGTAATTTCAGAGTCCTCGCTCGGTGGGAAGTCTGCTTGTCCCTCTCCCTTTGCTCCTCCCCCTGTTTGTACTCTCTCTAAAAAATAAAAAAATTAAAAAAAAAATTCTAGAAACTTAGCAGCTGTTGGAGGCAGCTAGACTCAAAGTTTCCAAGACATCTACTTGGCTGATGTTCTCAGGGTAGAGGTTTAACCTAGCAGCTCCTAAGCGTCGAGGAAAAAAAAAACCCAGAAGCAGTTGGACAGGCAGGATCTGCAGGAAGGATGAAGTCTGGTATATCACACCTGCGTTGACAGGATGGCTATGCGGCAGTGAGTGGAGGAAGCTGGATTTCCCTCTAACCTGGCGCAGGTCCCAGATTTTCACTGTTTGGTCTACGGAGGCTGTGGCCAGGAACCAATCACAGCATGGATTCAGGGCCACGTGGGTCACTTTCTTTTTGTGCATTCTCAGATTCCAAAGCTGCAGAGAAGGGCTCGGTTCAGATAGGGCGCAGGGGGGCCCAGGGTTGGGGGCAGGGGGTAAGGGAGACAACGGGAGGATCTGGGCTCCAGAGAACGCACCTCCCTGCCGTCCATGTTCAGCAGGATCACGTGCCCCACATTGTCTCCCGTGACCACCATTCGGCTTCTGGCAGACACATCCAGGCTGCAAAGCCAGACGCTGGAGGGAGAAACTGTGCTGTAAGATTGCTGGGGACAGAGGCAAGGACCCTTCTGTCGCTGTTGCAGCTCTGGCGTCTAATGTACCAGAGCCATCCCATCAGGATTTGCTGAAGGCATAACCGTCTTGCCACAGACTCCCAGAGAGGAGCCCTCGGACTTGTCTACCAGCCGTCAGAGGGGAAGGGGTGACGGGGCTCCGAAATGTGTCCAGTGACTCAGCCAGTAAGAGTCCTTGAAGCTGCCACAGCTCAGAGCCATAAGGCAAGTCCCCAGGCTAGCCTCCCCCTAGAGCCCTGGGTTCTGAGGAGGACTTGTTTATTGCTTTCTCCCTTCTCTACCCTTTGGGCCAAAGGAGATGACAAACCAAACGGACTGCCCAGCTCTCTTCCGCAGGGCTGGTGAGAAAGGAACTTCTGCCCCCTTCTGAGCACTTAGGGAAAAAAAGCACACACAACCTCTGTCCTGCTCTTTCGTCTCTCTGACTACTTGAGGATGAAGGGATTGGGTTGGGATTGCTTCAGATATCCTAAAACCTGGCCAGGAGAGCTCAGATTCATATTCTTTTCTCTCAATACTCAAATCCTTGCTACAGTGCCCACAAACCTACAAATGTCTTTCAGAGGGAGGATTTCTTGTGGAAGAATAACGTGGAGCAGAGTCTACCCATCTCTGCCCTGACCTGTATGGGGCCGCCCAGGACTGCGGCCAGTGCCGTTAGACCCCCTCACACACACCCTGGACTCTTTAGAGAACAGTAAGAGTCATGTCTCTGCTAGGAATCCAAGTGACAAGCATTTTGTCATTTCTCTAGTCACATGCTCTTGGGGCATCCCATGGGCTCTGTGGACATGACTGTATCCCTTTCAGCTTCCCTCAAGGAACTGGTTGCATCATTACACCCCAGTGACGTGACGGGAATGAAATCTTACATTCTTAGTTCCTGCTCCAACCTTTAAGTGGCTTTCCCAGCCATTGCCATGTGAACTAGTGAGAATCAAGGTCTAGAACACTTTACAGAAGAGCCAAAGCCCTTCCCTTGCTGGGAAGAGCAGAGGTTCTAGAACCCCTCACTGAAGCAGTAACGCAACCGGAAAGCAGGAAGAGCAACTATGGAAAGTCTCAGCGGGAAGGGTGGGATGTGGCTCCCCCCCAGCAGTTCCCCATGTGCCAGGCATGGGGAACACACACGAGACCTGGGTGCTCTCACCAGAACTACGCCGAGAGCGCAGACGCCTTTTCCCTCCTAGTGAGGCTACTCACTTGCAGGTGTCTGAGCTGGCAAAAACTCGGACAGTGTTGCCTTTAAAGTCTTGCAGCCTAGTTGTTCCCTCCATTGAGGAGGTGAAAAACTGGTTGGTATCAAGAGGGTTAAACTTCAGCCCAGTGATGCTCCCTCCAGCTCCAATCTAACACAAGGAAGAGAAAAGCCAGTGAGTGACGTCAGCCCAGGTGGAGGACGAGGCCTGGGCGCATGGGCTCTGCAGACCAGAGAGCCGGGCGGGCAGCAGGTATGGCCAGGCCAGCCGAAGGGCCTGGACACGGTGATGTGTTCCAAGACGCTCTTTTCTTACTCAAGATTTTAGTTTTAAGTAAATTGTTAAAAAAAAAAAAAAAAAAAACAACTAACCTACGGTACATTTGGTTGTTTTCAGAATACAGTTCTATGAATTTGAACACAGAGATCTGAATAACTACCACCCAAATTGGGACACAGAACAGTTCCATCCCCTCAAAAAACTTGCTTGTGCCCTCCCGGCGTGGTCACACCCCCACCCCACCTGTAACAGCCTGGCCACCGTGGCTCTGCTCTCCATCATTATGCTATGGCTTTGCCTTGAACGGAATGTTCTAGAAGTGACTCCCAGAGTTTGCATCCTCTTGCGACTGGCTCCCTTCATCTGACTCAGCATGGCGCCCCCGAGACGCGGCCAGGTTGCTGTGTGTACCCATCGCTCACCCATCACATTCTCCTGCTGGCCTTTCTGAAACGTGGACGCACCACAGCTTACTTACTATTGCCCGGAGCTCTTTAGAAGAGCCCCAGCTCGGAACAAGGCCTGGATTAGGAGGGCAGGAGTCAGAACTGAGCTCCTCCCTAATTTTTCCAGACATCCCCGACAATGGTGATGAAAACGATCACGATAACGTCAGCAACGTCTCCAGCTCTTACGTTGCTGCTCTCCCAGCCTCACAGACTCCCCAAAGCCTCTGACCCAGTGCCCGCTTAGCTCACTCAACACGCTCACTGGCACGTTCCGTCCCCTGTCCAAAGCAGTCTAACCAGTGCCTGTCGTCCGCCCAACCCTTGCTGCTGGGATCATCTTCTGCTCCCAACACCTGAGTCCTGTGCTCACCCGGGCTTCGTGGGGTCTGTTCTTAAACCCGTATATGCCCGTTGTACTTTTTGTTGTAATTATGTAATTTAATTAAACATGTAACTTAATTACATGTCATTTATTAACCATTTCATAAAAATGATAAACTTTAGGGCGCCTGGGTGGCTCAGTGGGTTAAGCCGCTGCCTTCGGCTCAGGTCATGATCTCAGGGTCCTGGGATCGAGTCCCGCGTCGGGCTCTCTGCTCGGCGGGGAGCCTGCTTCCCCCCGCCCTTCCTCTCTCTCTGCCTGCCTCTCTGCCTACTTGTGATCTCTCTCTGTCAAATAAATAGATAAAAATCTTTAAAAAAAAAATAAACTTTAAACATTTCAACGAAACATTTAAACATGTTAAGTTAATTAAACAGAAGAACTATGTGCAAAAAGGAAGAACGCTGTTATTTCTATGAGAGTCATGTTGAACACTTTGGAAAAACCAAATGAAAAATGAGTTGTTAGAAATGATAGTTGTCAAATTAAGCAAGGGTGCGATACTTATAAACACGTAGCATGGGAAATAATAAAACTTGAAGAAGAATCTACAATCAGATTGCTTTCACAACTGCCTTTAAATTATGTCTTCACAGGACCCTTGGGTGGCTCAGTCAGTTAGGCTCCTGAATCTTGATTTTGGCTCAGGTCATGATCTCATGGGTTGTGGGATTGAGCCCTGTGACGGGCTCTGTGCTCAATGGGGAGTCTGCTTGGAATTCTCTCTCTCTATCCCACTCGTACACTCTGTCTGTCTCTCTCTCTCTCAAATGAATAAATAAAATCTTAAAAGATTTTTTTTAAGTGAGGGGAGAAGCAGAAGGAGAGGGAGAAGCAAGACTCCCCACTGAGGAGGGAGCCTGATACAGGGTTTGATCCCAGGACCCAGAGATTATGACCTGAGCCAAAGGCAGATGCTTAACCATTTGAGCCCCCAGGTGCTCCAATAAATAAATCTTTTTTTTTTTTAAGATTTTATTTATTTATTTGACACAGAGAGAGAGATCACAAGTAGGCAGAGGCAGGAGGGGGGAGGGGGAGAAAGCAGACTCCCTGCTGAGCAGAGAGCCCGATGTGGGACTTGATCCCAGGACCCTGGGATCATGACCTGAGCCGAAGGCAGAAGCTTAACCCACTGAGCCACCCAGGCACCCCCAATAAACAAATCTTAAAAAAAAAAAAATTGTCTCCACTTTTAGGGAAAGGGAAACTAGACCCTATAAAAAATACATTATGGGGGTGATTTCTGTAAAACCAGGTGAGCCCTCATCAGTGGACCATGACACCCAGAAAAGGACTGGTCCTATGTCAGAGCATCAGTAGTAAACACATACATAAACATTTTAAGCTAAAATACATGTGTGTTCTTTCTAGTAAGGGCTGACTTAAGTGGTTATGACCAACTCTTTCATTGAGAGGGAAGAACAAAACCAGGGCAAAGTATGATAACCAAATACACTGGAAACTTCCAATACCAGAGATGATGGCTAGCTCATCAGCCTTCTGTTGAGAACTAGAAAAGGGAAACAAAGTCAGTATCTCTGAAGAGAAGCTTTTGAAGTCAATGAGCGCTATGAAGGCATCAGGGACTTGAAGACTGACATCCTAGAGAGAGGAGAAGCAACAGGTAGGCCTGACTTTGGGTGCCGCCTTTCCCCTTGAAGCCTATGCAGCCCAGAAAGATGTGATTGGGAAGCAGAGGGAGCAAACTGCAGAGAAGCTGAATGGAAAATGGTAGGTGACTCCAAGGCTGAGAAGCTGGGCTGAGGTTTTGCCAGTCTCGCAAGGTAAGAGGAGAGGTCTGGGGAAAAAATCCAGCTTTTAGTTAGGATCCCTGACATGCTAGAGATAAGAGCAAATTGGAACTAGTCTGACGCTCACAAAGACTGAAAAGTCCAGATTCAAATAATTTCTTTCTTTCTTTCTTTTTTTAAAGATTTTATTCATTTATTTGTCAGAGAGAGAGAGAGAGAGAGAGAGCAAGAAAGAGGGAACACAAGCAGAGGTAGTGGGAGAGGGAGAAGCAGGCTTCCCGCTGAGCAGGGAACCAGATGTGGGGCTGGATCCCAGGTCCCAGGATCATGACCTGAGCCGAAGACAGACACTTAACTGACTGAGCCCCCCAGGCACCCCCAGATTCAAATCATTTCAATTTCATTGGATGAAGATGATCTGGTTCCATCCTACCTGCCTGTCAGAAAGAAAAAAAAAGTCTCTGGAGGAAAATATCACCACTCAAAACTTCAAATTATCTCTACAAGTTTTCATATGCAATATTTGGCATTGAATCTAAAATCACCCAGCATATCAGAAGATAAGGCCAAATAACCAAAAACTAAGGAAAAAAACATTTGAAAGACACAGGAGATCCAGATATTAGAGTTATTAGATACAGGCTTGAAAATAATTGTGATTAATTTATTTTAAAAAAAAATAAATAGACCTGGGGCAGCTGGGTGGCTCAGTTGGTTAAGTGTCTGCCTTTGGCTCAGGTCTCGATCCCGGGGTCTTGGGACTGAGCCCTGCATTGGGTTCCATTGCTCATTAGGGAGTCTGTTTCTCCCTGTCTTTCTGTCCCTTCCCCCACTCATGCTCCCCACCAACCCTCTCAAAAAACGGACGAAGGATTTAAACAGACATTTTTTTAAAGACATGCAAATGGCCAGGAGCAGTGAGCAGATGCTAAGCACCGTTAGTCACCACTAGATACCATTTCACACCCCTCTGAGGGCAATGATAAAAAAGATGGACAGTGACAAGATAACCCCTGAAAGGAGAGAAAACACTCGCAAACTAGATCTAATAAGAAGTTAATATCAAAAGTATATGAGGAACTCAGTAGCAAAAAACAAATAAACAAACAAAAAAACCCCAAATAACCTCATTAAAAACTGGTCAAAGGACCTCAATCAACATTTTTCCAAAGAAGACACACAAATGGCCAACAGGTATATGAAAAGGCGGTCAACATCACTAATCCTGACATCAGGGAAATGCAAATCAAAACCACAATGCTATCACTTTACACGTGTTAGAATGGCTATTATGGAAACAATAAAAGATAAGAGGTGTTAGTGAGGGTGTGGAGAAAAAGGTACTCTTGCACTCGGTTGATGGGAATGTAAATTGGATGGGGCCCTGTGGAAAACAGTATGGAGGTTCCTCAGAAAATACACCATATGGTCCATGAGTCCCACTTGTGGGTATAGAGTCCAAGGAAATGAAACGAGCTTCTTAGCGTGTTATCTTCCTTCCTGTGTTCACTATAGCTACTCACAACAGCCCAGGAAAGGAAACCACCTCAGTGTCTGCTGATAAATGAAGGGATAAAGAAAATATGGTATGTATGTATGATGGAGTATCATGGAGCCCTCAAGGAGAAGGGAATCCTGCCATTTGTGATGACCAGGGGTAAGTTTTGCTAAGTGAAATAAATCAGACACAGACACTGCATGATCTCAATTATATGTGGGTCTACAGATGTGGCATTCATAAAAGCTCAGAGTAGAATGGTGGTTGCCAGGGACTTGGGGATGGAGGAGATGGGGAGACGTGGGTCAAAGGGTACAAAGTGTCAATCATGCAGGGTGGATAAGTTCCAGAGATCTAATATACAGTGTGGTGACGTAGTTAATAATACTGTGTTGTGTATGTGAAATTTATTAAGAGTTGATCTTAAGTGTTCTCAGACAGACACACAAGGTAATATGTGAAGTGATGAATGTTAACTAGCTTGACTGTGGTAATCATTTTTTTTAAGATTTTATTTATTTATTTGACAGAGAGAGACCACAAGTAGGCAGAGAGGCAGGCAGAGAGAGGGGGAAGCAGGCTCCCCACGGAGCAGAGAGCCCGATGCAGGGCTCAATCCAGAACCCTGGGATCATGACCTGAGCGGAAGGCAGAGGCTTAACCCACTGAGCCACCCAGGTGCCTCAACTGTGGTAATCATTTGCAATGTACCCTTGTTAAAATTCACCCTATATGCTTTAAATATGTGCAGTTTTTAATTGTCAATTGTATCGCAATAAAGCTGGAAA